CTTCAATTTCGACTTTACTATCATCATCATAGACTCCATCATAAATCAGGACTTGGCTCAGAGACTCATTTATGTACCTAAGAATCCACTTTAATGCTTGTCAGTGCGTCTTCCCAGGATTGACCATATACTTGCTTACAAGGCTCACCCTGTATGCTATGTTTGGCCTTGTACGTACCATAGCATACATCAAAGAACCTATTATACTAGCATATGGAATGACATTCATATAGGCCCTTTCGACTTCAATATTAGGACTTTGATTCGTACTTAGCTTGTATTGAGGATTAGTCAGTGTTAGAACAAGCTTTGAATTTGACATACAAAACTTGTCGAGAATCTTCTTCAGGTATGTCTCTTGAGATAAGTATAATCTCGACTACTTTATATCTCTCTGGATGTCAATCCCAACTATTCTAGAGGCAGCTCCTAGATACTTCATGTCGAACTCCTTATTGATTTTAGCCTTCACATTCATAACATCTTCGATATTGTTGCTTTCTATGAGGATGTCATCCACATAAAGCAACAAAATCACAAGTGAATATCCAGGTCAAAATCTGAAGTAAATATAGTGGTCGAATTGACTCCTAGTGAAATCAATGTGTGCCATGAATTTGTCGAATCTCCTATTCCATTGTCTAGGAGATTGTTTCAGGCCATACGATGACCTATTCAGCTTCAATACATAATCTTCCTTTTCCTTTTCTGCATACCCTTTGGTTTGCCTCGTCAGGATTGTTTCATATAGATCAACAGGAATGATGTTTTCACGTCCATCTGTTCAAGTTCTAGGTTGAACTTTGCCTCCATGGCTAACAACATTCTAATGGATCTATGATTTACAACAGGTGAGAACACATCATTGAAATTGATACCTTCTTTCTGAGTGAATTCCCTAGCAACCAACCTTGCCTTAAAACGCTTTGACATCACTCATTTGATTCCTTCCTTAACCTTGAAGATCCACTTATAGATGACTAACCTGGCCCTTGTAGGTTTCTCGACCAGCTCCCAAGTGTTATTATCATGGAGATATTTCATCTCATCATCCATGGCTTTCATTCATTCAGTCTTATCTCGACTCCTTATAACTTCCTTATTCTCTAGGTTTTTCATCAAGAACCTCACTTGCAAAGATTTAGGCATAAGCTATGAGATATGCATAACCAAGTCTCTGAGGTGGCTTGATGACTCTTCTCGAGCTCTCTCTTGCCAGCAACTAGTCATTATCAGTCTTCTTCTTCGACTTCATCTGGTTCATGCAATTCAGCATCACTATGCTCCACCTCAACAAGAATTTCTTCCTGTTCCATCTCTTCTTCAGATATCTTCGAACTTCGACCAATGTCATCTATTTTCTTGAAATCCATCTCAGCTTCATTGAAAACTACATCTCGACTTGTGATACACCTCCTGTGACCTGGATCTAGGCACCAGAACCTATAAGCTTTGACTCCTTCAGGGTATCCAAGGAACATACATCTCATAGCTCTAGATTCGATCTTGTCTTGCCTAATACGAGCATAGGCTAAACAACCAAATAATCTAAGCCTGTCGAGACTAGGTGGAGGTCCCGACCAGACTTCTTTAGGTGTCTTCATTCCCAAGGTTGTCGAGGGACACCTATTTATCAAGTATGTTGCAGTTGCAGCAGCTTCTACCCAAAACACCTTCTTTAGTCCTGCACTTACCAACATGCATCTCACCCTTTCCAGAATGGTTCAATTAAACCTTTCAGGAAAACCATTTTGTTGGGGAGTCCCTGCAGTAGTTTTATGCTTTGCAATATCATATGCAACACAGTATCTGTCGAAAGCCTCATTGCGAAATTCAAGACCAATGTCGGTCCTCGACCTCTTGACCTTTCTACCAGTTTGGTTTTCGACCAGTGTCTTCCAAATTATGAACATTTCAAAAGTTTCATCCTTAGTCTTCTGGATGAATGCCCATAACTTTCTAGATTAATCATCAACTATGGATAGAAAATACTTTGCACCTGAGTGTGAAGGATTCCTTGCAAGCCCCCAAAGATCAGCATGAATGTAATTAAGAGGTCCATGTGTTCTTTGTTTACCTTTGTTAAACTTCATTCTACATGATTTACAAAATACACAAGGTTCACAAAATTCTATTTTTTCGAACTTATCACCACCCGACAGATTTTGTTTCGAAAATTCGACCAAGCCTATTTCACTGACATGGCCAAGTCTCTTGTGCCATAGCTCAGTCTTCGACACAGGTTTATAGATGCCACATATGCTGAACTACTTACAACCTCAGCCTCAAGGGCATACAAGCTTTGTTTCTTCACGCCTCTCAAGACTTCCTTCGCCCCCTTCATTACCCTTAGGATGATTTTCTCTCCTTTGAAAACATATCCTTTCTTGTTGAATTCACCAAGAGAAATCAAGTTTCTCTTAAGATCAGGTATATACCTAATATCAGTCAATAGCCTTATTGACATATCATGGAGCTTGAAATTCATTGATCCACCATCTTGATCACACAATTCTTCAAATATGTCTTTGTTTGGAGTCATGTGCCAAGTACACCCTGAATTCATAATCTACTCCTTACCAGAGTCACTGCTTGAAACCACCAGGATATCAGATGATTCATAACCATCTTGCACAATAGATGCATTACCATTATCCTTTCGGTCATGATTTTCAGTCAATCAAGGCATATTTTTCTTGTATGACCCTTCTTCTTACAATGATAACACTTAATAGTAGGAGCATTATCACCATTAGAATTTTGTAGAACTTTACCCTTTTCTTCTAAAACCTACCATCTTTCTTCAAGAATTTCCCCTTAACAGGAAAACCTTCACCAATAGAAGATGGTTTGTGCTCCTTTCGTTCGTTCAAATCCATAGAGTACAATGTAGATTGAACGTCTTCAAAGGTCAGCGACTCTCTTCCATACAAGAGAGTTTCTTTGAAGTGAACATGAGACTTAGGTAAAGAGCATAACAACAGCAACATTTGATCTTCATCATCAATCTTGACCTCAATATTTCAAGATCAAGAATTAACTTGTTGAACATATCCAGCTGCTCAGCCAAGGTTTTGTCTTCACTCATCTTAAACTAATATAAAACTTGTTTCAGGTAGATATGATTAACCAATGATTTCATCATGTACAAACCTTCAAGTTTCATCCATACACCTGCTGCAATTTTCTCCTTTCAAACTTGTCAGAGAATCGTATCACCAAAGCTCAATACAATGGCATTGTTGGCTTTTTTGACCATCGTTGTCTTCTCTTTCTCCGATAGGGCAACGTCCATCTTCTTTGATCCTTTCAACGCTTCTAACAAACCCTGTTGAAGAAGAAGAAGGACTTGCATCTTCAAGCACCACAAACCGAAATCATTCACACCAGTAAATTTCTCAATCTCATACTTTGTTGACGACATCTTCTCCTCCACGCTCACCATATCAGTTTGTTGTGAATAGATGTCGTCAAGAACAAACCAAAATATGAGAAAAATATTGAGTTTCTTGAACAAACACAAGAAACCCTATTAGGTTCTACAAAAGGGAGAGAAGAAGGAAGAAAAAGAATAAGAATTGGTTAAATATGTTTTTCTCTTCACTTTCTCAATAAGGGTTCAAAGATTACAAGTGAATACCAACAATTAACCTCTCTCAACAACCTGAGAGAAATGGTCTATTTATAGACTACTAAGCTAACTTAGGATACAAGCTAACTTAACAATTGGGCTTATAAGCAATGCCTAATTTGACATGTTAACTTAAACAGAAAGCTAACATATTTCGACAGTATGCTTGAACAGACTTCGACTCCAGCATGCACAACTCATGTCGAACCATAAAATTACCCTTTTTAACACTAAAGTTTGATCCAAAATTCTACACAACTCATCTTGATTTTGAATCAAAAGCTTCGTGCATTTGATATGAGTTACTATTGATTTCAATACTAATGTAGAAACTCCACCCATCAAAAAATCAATTGCAAAACTTGCAAAGTTTTTTCTGATGGTAATGGAACAAACACTTCATAGTTATGAAGAAAAAAATGATTAGGATACAACTTATAATGTATAATTATAAAATATAAAACTGATTATTTAGGATAATAGTGTTAAAAGAATTGAGATATAAATTAAGGAATTAAAGTATAGTATAAAAGAAATGTGAAAAAAAAATGTAACACAAGAGAGAAATAAATTTATAATTGATAATAATACACATTATTGAGAATTATAAGAATAACTTTTAATGTCATATTTATAATTATGTTTTATAATTTTATTAAGTAATTATTAAATATATTTTTAATTATCATAAAATTATTAAATATGTAATAAATTGTAATTAAGAAAATGTACATGTTTTAATGGCATTTATATTATTTTTTTCATCAAAATAAAGAAAATAAAATGATTTAAATTAATACATATGGTGAAAAGAATAAATAAATAAGATACTAATTTATGTATAATTATAAAAAAGAGACATGAAAAACTTATTTTTAAATTTATTTGCTGGTAATATTGCTACAAGTTTAATTGTCCAACCTTAAAGATTTAAGTGTGGTATTTTATTTTAAATAATACGAAATTGGGTAGGTAAAAACAAATAATCAAATAATAGTGAAATAGAAGAAAAGGAAAAATAGTTGTTGATGTTAAATTCTTTTTTATATAAATAGATTTAATTGTTAAAATTAAAAATATCAAAAAATTTATAAGATCTATGTTTTGGTTTTTAGGGAAAAAAATCCTAGTAATTCAGAGTTCGGTCTCAGAGTAGCCTGGTCAAACATTGACAATTAAGCAGTAACAACATTATGACAAACTCTTTTACTATTAACAAAATGACAGAAGAATTGGAATTTGCATGGTCTTATAGTTTCATAATTACTTGACTTACACAAAGGGAGAGGCAAAAGAGTAGAAAGCAAGAAATAACATGTCAACAAAATATTCTCTTCTCTATCAGTAACTAACTTAGCATATACATATATTACATAAAACTCGTCAAAAGCAACAACAAAGACGAAATCTGCAGAAAAATATATCCATAAGAGTTACTCCAATGGCTTGCATGAGATGGAGAAGGAGAACGAGGATTGGTAGCTGTTGATGCCTTTTCCTGTGAGCAAGTGTAATTGCAGCGGCTCGGAGGAACAACTCGGTAAACGCCGCTACTTGCAAGAATGTAAACATCTTTCTTGTTGTCTTGCCCAAATGAAAAGATGTATCCAAGAGCTGGAAGGGAGCTACTAGGTACTATGTCACATGGTATAGGTGAATCGTGTGCACAACCGAAAGGGATTCGGCTAGTTGTGAAATTTCCACTATTTTCAGGGTCTTCGGTTGCAGCCCAAACTGCGCCCGCGTAAAGATCAGCATACAGGTACCTGAAATGCATCAAAGGGTTTAAAAAATATGAGACGCTATGTCAAGGTTTTTGATGTTTATGTCACTGCAACACGGCGCATCTTGTTGTCTGTTTGTCTTCTATTTTTGTATAATCTTTATTGTATATCTCAACAGTTACATTATATGAAAACAAGTTGAGGGCCATAAAGGAAAAGAAAATGCCTATGTACCTTCCAAACATGCAAGGGTCGGTCATGGATCGATAAACATATCCCCCAGTGATCGACGCGGATCCTTCGTTCTTGTTTATTTGAGAATGGTTGTATCCTGCTATGGGGGAAATTGCATTTATAGATTTAATGGAGGTATTGCCTCCAGGTGAATCTGTAATAGCGAACGGATAGGGTCCTTCGTTAACTCGCCAGCCATAGTTTCCACCTTTTGTGATGAGATCCACCTCTTCATAAAGATCCTGCAAATCAATCATATAACTAAGAATATCACATTTCACTTTTTTCCTTGTAGAAAATCAAGCCAGATGAATCGTAAACTTTTATACATCTATTGAAATTCAATCGATGGTTGATGAGTGGATTAGTTAACAAAATTCCATATGCTATTAAGCCGAATTTTAAATGGCTTTAACTTGCGATGCAAGTTTCAAAATTCACATATCTAGAAATATCATTTCTGAAATTTAATCTGGGATAAGCGTTCACAAACCTGTCCAACATCTGCACAAAAAAAGTAGGAAGGTTTTTCCGAATCAAAGCTGCATCGCCAAGGATTTCTTAATCCTAAGGCCCATATTTCAGGCTCCAGATCTTTATCTTCACTGAATGGATTATCCTTAGGAATGGAATAGCTACCCCAAAGTCCAAGTTTACTAACTTCCGATGCACCTGACGGCTCATGATAGATTTAATCGTCAAGAGTAAGGTGTTAAAAAAATACTATCCCTACTCAAAAAACTTTCCAATGCTCATAGTTTACTGATAAGTAAGCAGGTAAGCGACTGCCCACTTACCTGCCCGTTTATCATGTCACTAACTCGAGCGACCTGATAAATTGGCCGGTAAACTATGAGTCATATCCAAACTACGTTAGGGTGTACTACTACTTACTTGGAATGTTGTCGACATCGAGTCGCATAATCTTTCCGAGCAACGATTTCTTGTTTTGCGAAAAATTGTACGGATCACCTGTACCTCCTCCATCTCCCATCATGAAGTATAAGTACCCGTCATCGGGTCCAAAGAGTATCTGACCAGCATGTTGAGATGTATATGGGAGGCCCATGGTAAATATCCTTCTCACCTCGGTTGGCTTAGCACTTTCAGCCTGAAAAATCGATAAGAATGATTAGATAGTTTTATTCTATCCGCTGAACTTAACTCCTTATAGAAACTATTATTACATATATGTCACGTAGAAATGCTTACCGAGGATGGTTGAGATGCGGTTCCATTAGCAGTATATTCTGCAATAACAGTTTGATATTGACACGGTTGAGCGCCGTTACTAGTACCTAGCTTTGACGGATCACAGTTAACATTTGAGTTACAAGAACATACTCCATTGCATCCAGACCATTTATCTTTATCGCAATTAAACGAAGCGAAGAAACGTCCGTTGTTGGCGAAATTTGGATGAAATGTCATTCCCATCATTCCAAATTGAGTATCAAAATAAACTTGATCAGTTAGATCAACAAAAGGACTTGACTGATCAAGCTCCAATTGTCCTCCCGATCCTTCTTCCGGAATAGTTGCCAACCAAACTTTACCCATCTGACTCGAGAAAAACGCGCGGTTCGTGCCATCGGGATGAGCAACCATATTGAGATAAGATCCGTTCCCAATTTTCTCAAGGCACAGTCCATGAGGAGGACTAACAGGAGTATCAGTTTTATTTAATACAACAGGTCCGCCCTCGAAGCATACCGATTCATTATTAGAGGCTCCTCCAAATGCATTACAAAAATCAGTTTTCGACTGCCATAGTTCATTTAGTTTTGTGGCATTGGTATTAGCTGGTAATCCTCCTCCTTGACCTTGCAAGGAAGGCGAAAACGGCGAGTTTATTATAGACACGGTTTGACATGTATTCCATACTTCAGAACAGAAACCGCGCAGTGACGCTTTTGAACTAGAAGAATTCACCGGAACTGCAGAATCGCAAAGCACGGGAACCGATCTTTGTGTAGATTGAACCGTATACAGCTCTGCCGAAAAAGGGTCACATTTCTGCAAACAAACAAAATTTAGCTAGCTATATGCAACGCAGAAGTTACGCGTTGAATTGAAAAACAGATGTTACTAAATACTAACTAGCAGATAAACAAAACCTCACCGCGCAAAGTATCGATTTCAAAAGCGAGGCACAGTCGGTATCCGATACATTCATGAGGTTGAATTTCTTCTGTATTTGTTGATCTTGTATGGAGTTGCAACAAGTACTTCCATTGTAAGGACAAAACTTGAGTGTGGAATTGAGACTAAAGGGTGCCCCTATAAACAATACAAAAAAACATACACATCTATAACAAAAACAGAAAAACACAAAAAAAGATTTAAAAAAAGAAGAAAAGACAGAAACATACTTGAATCAACACATAGAGGAAGTGAAGTTGAAGAGTCCAAAAGCAGGAACATAAGACAGCAACAAAACAAGAAACCTATGGAAAGAACAGTCTTCATGGCTGGCGCCAAAACAAGTTCAATCTATGCTTCACTTTCACATAAATCTCAGAACATACTCCAAATATCAAATTTCTAATTTTAGTAATAAAATCAGAAGTCACTTTCAATCATCAATTTATATTTTGATTCAACCCTATTGATATGAGTGGTGAATGTGTGTGCCCCACAGACCTGGCCTTACCTTCCCTAGTTGACTTGTTGTCCTTTAAATATATAGATAAGATGGCCAATGGTATGTGTATGTATGGTAATGGGAATACATGTGATGTTGGTTGGTTCATGAAAGCTTTATGTTATATTAATTAATGGTGCGCTATAGTTAGGTGCAACGAAATATTATTATTATATTTTGTAGTACTGTTGTAGCTGAGTTTCTAACTTCTAACCAAGCACTAGAAAAAGCATATTCGTGTTCATATTCAATAATCAACTCATAGAAGAAGGAATCATCCACTTGGGATTATTATCATAAAGTCAAATTACCATAAGTCAAATAAATATTGGACAAATATGTTTTTTTCTATATAACTATATAGACATAGATATAATGAGTGATATGTGTGCACGTTAGCAATGACGCACGTATTGTGTATTATTGGCGAATATTGGTCTGGCAATGGTGGAAGTCAAAAATGTTTTGCTATATTAATTTTTCAATTATAGTATGGATAAGCACCTTTCCAAAACATGATGCTAATGGTTCCAAATTCGGTTTGGATGAATGATCTCTTAGTTGCCTATCAGCTTCTAAAATATGAAAGGATTGCGCACTCGCCGAAACACACTCCAGCTTTGAATCTGAATATTCTCATAGAATTGTATCGTTTTTTGAATGAAAAGATGTTACAAACATTAAAGAAGTTGGAATTGGAATAACATTAAAGAAATTCTTACAAGTACAAGTGGAATTGTTTCACATGTTATAGAACCCAAGACTCGTCAAATAGTATAGTTGTTAAAGAAAAAAAGAATTATTTATTTAATACTGTGTCAAAAATCAAATTTCTATTTCAGAAATACCTTTATTTGTGAAATTTAATAAGTGGCCTAGAAACTGTGTCATAAAATTCTAAACCATAAACCCAAAATCCTAAAAACAATGGTAACATTTACAGTGGCAAACCGTTAAAAAAAGTTCATCCATCACAAGTTCACAACCAATATAAAACTACAACTACAGTGAACCGATTTAAATTAAAGAGAGAAGATATGAATTAGAATCACATGAGCTTTCAAGGTATTAAATACTTTTATCATTAAAAAATTTGTCAAATTGATTCATTGAATACAGTCTACTGTGCACATCCTCCCGTTTTTTGACTCTGCCACTCACAGTGTTCTCAACCATCAAGGGCACCTAGTGCTTTCATGTCCTCTAAGAAAGCCGAGTATGAGTCATCAATGCTCGGTGCTTTTGGAGCAGATGACGAGCTCACTGAGTCTGGTTTTACAATAGTTGGCCCTGGTGGTGCAGAGACTGCCCTAGATGCTGATGTTGACACAGACGGTTTTGGTTTTGTTTTCGTCATTGCAGTCTCCCTTCTCACCCGCACAGACGCAGGAACCTAGTAAAAAAACATGATCCAAACTAAATTAGAAGAATTACATAAACAAAAAATTAACAAAAGCTGTCTTAATGAGATGTTATCTGAGTATCTCTTATCAGTTTAATAAAGTAACAGTCGTCCTAAATTGTTTTATCTGAGTATCTCTTATCAATTTTGACCTCAGATAATATCTTATATTCTGAACTTCTGATATAAACCAGAACCAATATAGAAATAAGAGTATAAAACAATTGCTAATTTAAGGAATCAGTCGGTATTATTCCTACTGCAATAGAGCTAGGTTCCTACAGAGAGCTACTGATCTCCATTCATAATAAAATAACAGAATCCTCAAAAGCATCATCTTATTATGCACTCAGACTCTTCATACCCTCAAAATTATGTAGCCACCCGTCTTGCTTTTCTTCTCTCACTGCCAACATCGCATCTCACTCTACTCTTTTAGAATAAACTTTCCAAATCTTAAGCCTATGTGATACATGATGTCAAAATGCTCTGGCCACTCTTTTAAGCTCAATAGCTCACCATATGCCCTAACAACTGGCAAGTGCATAAGCTCAGTTTATCCACTTTTCTTTGTCATTAATGAAACCCTTTTACTCGCAGCAAATTAAGCAATTACCCGTTTAAATTTTGTGTACTTGATAACATATCTGGAGTTAGAAAGGCTTGAAAATTTTGCATGGAAGCTACATTTCCCTAATATTGTGATTGTTTCTATAATTTTTAATAGATATTTATAAATGCAAGTCTACTAATAATTTAATAGTCTCCTAACTACGGCAAGAGCATGACTCTTTTAGATAGATCTAGTACAAAAAAATTGTTGTTTTCATGCATTACTACAAACAACGAAATTATTTTATTCTGGACTCAAATATTAGCATCAGAATGACATAAAGTATGTTGCCATAAGCTTATTGAGCAGTCAGAAATATTAAGATACACTACAGCAAGAAACTTTACATGAAAAGGGATTATGTTTTAAAGGTATAAGGAAGAATACAATTCTGAGAGCTAAAATAAAAGCAAAGCTAAAAGTAAGAAAACAAGTTGAATCAACTGACCATTGATGTGAGTTCTGGAGTGTGCTGAGCTAATGGTCGTTTCACGACAGTAGAAGCAGCAGATTTGACATATGATGGTTTCGGAGGAGGTGGCCTACTTGCCATATGATCCTCTTCATGAAAGTTTGGAGGAGGGCCAGGTGGAAGCGGCGGTCTCATCATTGGAGGAGGCCCAGGTGGAAGACCATACGGTGGCCTTGGGATTAGGGGGACCATCATTCCAGGAGGAGGTGCCTGACCAGGAAGTCCGACCACAGGTAGAGGAGGCCTCATATCAGGTGGGGGTGGGGGTGGTGGGAACCGGGATATTCCAGGAGGCAATACATCAGGCTGTAAACTTGGGATTAATGTAGGTCCTGGAACAGGAGGTTGTTGCCTTGGAGGAGGAGGAGGAGGAGGAGGCCCAGGTACCATTTTCTGGATCTCCTGGTTTGACAGAGAATTCTTGTTGTCAGTAGAAACCACAGCACCTTCAGACTGTGTGGCACCAGAATTTTGGGGCATACGACTTGGTGGGGGAGGAGGCGGAGGAAGCTGCACCTGCATTTCAGACAGAAAAAATTATATCCAAAGAAGGTTGCATTAAGTATAATGATACAAGCCTGAGTTTCAAACTAGGAGCAATCAAATGTAATGTGTTCCCTATACAAACTAAAGAGAGAACAGCATACATTACATACCTATCCTTTTTCAGCTTGAATATACTTTTTAATGTTTAAAACACAGAAACTTGGTTCTGAAACAGATCAGCACATAAAGAAATAGACTTAACTTTGTCTGCAGCCCTATATTAACATTTAAATGTTTTTGGTGCTTCTAAAAAACTGATAACATACACATACTAATACTATTTACTATTATTATGAATTTGGTAAGCATAAAAATACTTTCAAAAATATTTATTAAATATTCCATGCCATACTCACATCCTAAATTTTAAAAAATACCAGCATCCTCATACTGAATCATTTTGGATTAAAAAAATGCCCATGACTGCACCAACAATGTTCTTAACTTTCAATATATCTATAATTTCAAGTCCTTTCATACTTATACAACCAGATCATGTCTTGAAAAATAAAGTTTTAACTAAAAATGAGCCTACCTGGCCAGGCTCCTTGGAAGATAGATTATCTGACAATGCAGACTGATTTCTCTCTTCACCTTCATTGGTGCCAGGTGGAGGCGGCTGAGACTGTTGTAGAGGTGGGGGAGGAGGGGGTAAAGGCTGATTTACAGCTTGTTCTTTAGGCGGAGGACCGGGAGGTGGAGGTGGCAAAGGAGGCAAAGGTAATGATGCAGGCACCCCAGCAGCAGGCTTTGGAGGCATGGGAGGTGGTGGAGGCAGTGGCAAAGATGCTGGTAAAACAGCACCATCAGCTGAACTAGCATCAGGCAGTGGTGGTGGTGGGGGAGGTGGAGGTACGGATAATACACCATCCTCGGACTCTATTGCCGAGGACGATGCAGCAGTACTTGACGAACCATCAAACAAGGGAATTCTAGGTCCTGCAGTTCAGCATGAAAACTGATTAAATTAAGATGTCAAAACAATATCATTTACAAAACATTATTTTACCAGTCAAATATGAAAAAAAAGGTTCAGCATACCTATAGATGATTTGAACATAGGAGGTTTCCCTGGCGGTGGAGCCCCGGTAGGATTTAAGGTAGGATGGTAATAAACAGAGTCCTGTAGTAAAAATCAATAAGAAATTCAAAAAACCATTTACAACACCTAGACAAACATGCACACAAGAACAAATGAAAGCATACCTCTGGTTTTGGGTGATTAACTCTCTCTTCCTCTTCTGCGCTTGTTCTCCTTCGAGGAGGGCCCAAATGACTGCTCAAAATACATCCAACGATTTGTAAACTACAGAGAAACAAATAGGGCATAAATTTGTAATTGAAAATAACACTAAATTTTTACCTGAACATAACAGGAGCCTCACCCTTGTCTCGCATTTTTTCTTCATATTCCTGTTCAAAAGATATCAGATTTAGACCATCAATAGAAACTATTTAATAAAATCACACATACAGTTAACTGGAGTGTTCGAATTCAAACACTGAATTCAGCATCCTCTACTAAACAAAAGATAAATATAAATGCACAACACAGGCAGCTTCAGCTACTAAAGCAATATGAAACCAAGGTCATGTCTTATTTCCATAAAGTTATGGGTTTTCCTTTTACCAATCAAGACTTAAATGTAAACCAAAAAACTACTTGGGTCTGTCTGAAGTCAAAATTAGCAGCAATGCATTACAAGTTTGTTTCAGTAGAAACTCATTACAGCCTACAACTACAAACGCACAACCTTTTACACTGGACCAAAAAAAGATCAACAACTCTAGC